GGTATCCGATCCTTGCTGTTTATGGGAGAATTGATAGGCCCTAGATGGAGTTAATTCCTGTATCCTCACTCCCCATTCGCCCGATTTCCAGGTTGAGACTTCAGTCAACAGATCCTTCCAACCTTCTGGGAAGCTGTTGATAATAGATTGTAGATTCTCGTCTCGCCGCTGACAGCCTTTCAGCTGGGAGGCAAGTTCCTGTTCTGTCACCCAGTCCTTTCTATTGTCATTCCACAGATGGCTCACTTTCCAAACACCATGTTTGATCCACAATAACCATCTCCTTCCTCTAGGGTTAAGGGATAATTGGTGGTCACCTTCGTCTCTAACCCACGGATTACTAAACAGAGTTTGCCTCAGAACTTCGTCTTTGGATTTGGGTTTACCCACTTTTTTCGGCATGACTTCCCGCCATGTCCGTAGCAGTGCAGTCCAATAGGGTACAGGAGGCCTGGCTACGTTTTGGTCAGTTCCTCTTCGTTGATTTCTGCGTCCTGTATTCAGAATCCAGTCTTTGGACATTACCCAGAACAGACCGGACATGTTTGCTGGCGTGGATATAGGTGCTAGGCCCCTGATGCTATCCAAAGCCAGTTTATTCCACGCCGTGCCTGGTTTTGTCAGTAGTTTGATCACCCATTTAACTTGTAAGGCTTTGGTTTCCTGTTTGGGGTTTATGATACCTAGGCCTCCTTTGGCTGGTTTCCTTGTGATGTGGTGCCAAGCTATCTTTGGTATGCAGTTCTCTTTGTTGGGGTCGCCCGACCACAAGTAGGCCCTGGCTTTACGGTTAAGTTCCTTGATTGAATGATCTGGAACAGTCCAAATTGATGCAATATACTGGCAATAGCCTTTTTAGCCTGAAACGAAGGGCTATTTTCGGCCCTGAAACTCAGGCACCGAACCAGGGTTTCGGGAACAGGCTATTCTTAGCCTGTTCCCACGCCAGCCTCAGCAGAGGCTGCAGCTCCAGCCCCTGGCACGCTTCGGCATTGGCGAGAGCAGCCTCCTCGGCCTGGCTCGCCCTTCAGGCAGTCAGGAGGCAGGCCAAGGTAGTACATAGGGACTTCCCATGCACTTCACGGGCAGGCAGGAGGCAGTAGTCTTCAGGATTCGGCAGCAGCACTCTGGAGGGAGCGCTGCAGTAGTAGTAGTAGCGTTAGCCTTAGTCTTCAGCGCTGGGCGCAGTAGGTAGCTGTAGTCTSCAGCGCTGRGCGCCATAGCTAGGATAGCACTAGAGAGAGAGAGAGATCGGGCGGAGGCCAGAGGTACTTACCTGCAGCGCCGTTGCTCCAGCTTCGTCTTCGAGGTACCTGCAGCACAGCACCAACTTCACAGGTTAGTACTTGGCTCGTAACAGAGAGAGAGAGAGAGTTCTTCTTCTTTCTCTTCTCAGTCCACCATCTCCCTCTCACCCTCTCATTATCTGACTTCACTGCATCAGCAGACTACGAGAGAAGAGAGAGAGAGCTTGGTGACATTGGATCCAGACTCGACTTTTTGGCTTCAGACATTGCAACGAGGGATTATTTGGGACTTGTGACAAAGACTTGGTGTTGACGGCATTCCCATCTCTCCCCCTCCTCTTCCTCTGATCCCCTCCTCTTCGTCTGTGTATGTCTGGACCTGGCGCTTTCTTCCTGTGTACAGCGCCAGGCTCCTTCACACCTTGTGATGGATACGATGTATGTTTGGTCTGCGTTCAAGCATTGATTGGGCTAGTCATTAGCATTCTAGCATTCTGCTTCGCTATCTTATACTACGTGAATGAGGTCAGTCCCGGTCAGGTCAGGATTTGTATCTAAGTCTTCCCTGCGCTATTCAGCACCATTTTGTATGTATTGGAATGCACGTTGCTTGTTGAGATTCTACTTGCACTGCATTGTCCATTCAGTCCTTTTTATCACATTGCGGATCCTCGGTTAATATGTACATCGCCTATCTGGGCATGTAACATCCTACCAGCCTTCAGATGCGCTCCACGTCAACAGTCCGCATCAGCACCAGCAGCACAGTGCCATGTCAGCATCCACTGCCATGCGTACTCCCTTGTCTACTCCGCTACGCCAGCATCTACCAGTAACCTCAACTGCCACGTCAGGAATCTCTTCTCGATTTTTTGTTGATGTCAACTTTCACAACGGATTTCTTTTGATGTCAACTTCAGCGTGATGTCAACGACAGGAACCTGCTCGGATACCAGTTTTGTAAGGATACTGCCACTCATGCATCATCCACGTCCATATGTGCGTGTAGATATGGAAGTCACACCAAAGAACTCGCCACACAGTTCTCGACAGCATTTACAGAATTACAAGAACTGGATACTGCACACAAGTAAGTCCAGTCTCAAGGTACGAACGAAGATGCACAACTATGGTGGGTCTGCCCCACAGAGTATGTTCACACCCTTGCCAAGTCGAAATGGCAGGACACACACGATTTGCACATTTCGAGTCCAAAGTGAAATGGGACTTCCAGCATCGAAAACCCTGTCATTCACTGATACAAAGAGGCCAATCAGAGTTCAACGCAGTCTTCATATGATACAAACTCTCCTAACAACAAGTACGTCTCCTCCTTTCCTCTCAGGATCTCGCCCTGAACATTGAAGTGTTGCTCCCACCAACAACACCATTCCAAGCCCACAAAGGAACTGTGCTACAAGCACTCTGACACAGGGCACTATTTTACTCTCTCGTCCAGATTAAAAAAAATATTTCAGGTTCTTGTCTCTAGGGACAGTACTTGAAGTTTCAGCTCATAAATATGTTAGAAATTCATGGAGAGGAGCGTGGGTGAGTCCTTTATGTATTCCAAATTGGCTTGCCGGGGGAATAGGAACCAGACTGTCGCTCCCCAGAATGGTAGGAACCAGAACCGTGAGGTTCTGTAGCTTGTTAAAAAAAAAAAAAAAAAAAAAAAAAAAAAAAAAAAAAAAAAAAAAAAAAAAAAAAAAAAAAAAAAGAAAAGAAAAGAAAAGAAAAGAAATTCATGGAATGTGGCTCCGGCAATGGTGGTGATACTCTCTCTTTCACTTATTGCCTCTTTGTTCTGTGTTTAGTTTGATTGCTTGATTGATTGACTGACTGAACTGAATGGCTGACGGACTGATTGATCTACTGTTGGTATATTCAGCTAGTTTGTAATCAGCTATGAAGAGCTCTGAAATGAAGAGGATGGGGATGGAGCCACATTTTGGATGAAGTTTCTTTTATGCGCATTCACCGCATTGAAAAAGGAGGGGGACTGATAAAGTCATAAGAGTAAGAGCAAACTGTGTGCTGTCTATCTGAGTACTTTTTGGTTCATTCAAGTGTTTACTGACTTCATTGGCAATACTTTTTCATTCTTGACATTGGGATTTTCAATCAATCAGGTTTACCTTGACTTTGGTCTGCCAATCCCAAAACTGAGTGTTCATGGAATGACCACAGTGCTCAAGGAGTTGCTGGAATTGGCGCCACTGAATAAGGTATCCACTGTCCAGTCATAAATGCTGTTTCCGCCTACCCTCCACCCCCCCTCTCCCCCTTCCCCAGCCTCCCTTTGTCGTTTTAACAAAACGAGGCCTTTGGTCACAATTGCATCCATTCTGCAGCTATATGTGTCACTGGCTAAATTTCCCTATACTCTTAAAGAATGCAAAGGGCCCAGCGTGACGCTTTCCGCCGGGCCCAGCAAAATTCGGTGTGGAGGCGGGCAAGACTGGGGCAAGGAAAATCAGTGGCGGCGTTTTGTGGCGGGACTGGAGCAAGGGAAATTGGTGGCGGCGTTTCGCGGTGGGCGGATCCGGGCCTGTGTGGGCATCGGGCAAGGGCGGGCGGATTTTTTTTTTTGGCCGTCGTGCGGGGCGCGGGGGGGCAGACGACGTTATCCGAGCGTTCTTTCGCAGGGATCTACAGCGGCTCTGTGCGGAGTGCAGTGCGTGGGGTGTGGCGCAGCGGCGGGGTGGCAGTGGAGTGTGGACTGTGAGAGTGACCGGAGATGGATGCGGGGAGAGGTGAGAGGGAGGGGCAGCGGAATGGACAGGAGGGTCGGAAGCAGGTGGGCGGCGGCACACACACACACACACACACACACACAGAGA